TCTACTCTACGCACATCCTAGCCAAAGTACCTGCTGCATTCAACATGCGTGTGTGTGTGTGGGAAGCACACATGTCCACATGAACAGCTCTGCTGTTCTCAGATTCTTCTCGCCATCGATTTCGATTTCGTTTGTGTTTTTGCTTTGCATGAAATCAAACATAAAATTCTTATTTCGGTTCTTGAGGTTTTTGTTTTCTGCTTTCTGTTACATTTGCATCCTGTGGGAAACGTTTCCAGTTGCACCGATTACAGTTATCAACCGGGCATGAGAAAATCCAGCGAGGTACACCTGCCTACGTAGAATGTTCTGGAGCTGTTTGAGGCTGTTGTATGAGAAGGATATTTTATATATATTTTAGGGACTTTTATCTGGATGGCCCAAGAGTATTCGAAATATAATATAGGGATTTATAATATGCTACAAAAATGTACCATATTTAATGGACTTTTCAATTACTATTCATCAAAAATCAATGAAGATTAATTTGATGAATATCATAATATCAAATACTTATATTTATAAATAAACTGAAAAATATTTTTATTAACACAAATAACTTTTTAAAATATTTTTTAAAAATATATTTTATTTTTGTATTTAGCTATATTTTTCATATACTATTTATATTAATTTTAAAATCCTTACACTAATATTTGAGTAGAAAAGGCTAAATGTAAACCTTAAATTTTAAGATTTAATATTATTATTTTATTTTTTAAATTTAGTTCTACGACTATTCACAATAAATTAAAATATTAAAACTATTGTTAAATTAAAAAAAAATATATATATATATATATTAAAATAATAAAAATACAATAAAAGCAAAATAAAAAGCCTTTTGTATTTTTAGCTTGCAAATAGTATAAAGCATCTTCCAATATATTTAAAATCAAATTTATATACATATGTTAAAGTGAGTTGAATTTTGCATCTACGTAGCTTTAAATAGACCACTTGCCATATCATGTTAAGGCAATCGGGGCACTTGACTACAATGCCGAAGGACAGTTTCAATCGATTTAAGAGAAACATCCGGCAAAAGGACTCTGGAGTGTTGGGCACTTGTTGTCCTTGTTTGCTTTGGCAGCAAACGCATGTCCTGCTGGCGACATCCGACATCCTTATTTGCATGGCGTGGGCAATGGACGCAGGAAATGTCCGTGAGGCAACTGCAAAAACAGTCCAGAACAACAACAGCAACAACAACAACAACAACTACCTGCTGCTACAGTCGCGTCGCTGCGGCGCTGCGTTGTCGCTGTCGCTGATGTCCTTCGCGCAAAACCGGAAGTAGTCAAGGCTCAAGGTGCAAAACAAGCAGCAGCAGCAGCCGCAGCAGGAGGAGCAGGAGAAGCAGAAGCAGCAGCATGTGGATGATGCATGCACAAAGAGTGAGTGAGAGAGAGAGAGAGAGAGACTGTGCTTGTGCCTGGGACGCACAAACTGAGACGCGTAACTTGATTCGCGCTCTAATAGATAGATCCCAGAACAAGAAAAGGATCTGTTGATTCCTTGCTGCTCCACCCGCGCTTTTGTTTTGCGGGAGCAGAGCTCAACAGGCGGAAGGAAGGAAGTGGCTCTGAAAATTCCCACGAACTGCAACCTTAGCCTTAGCCTTAGCCTGGCTCTATGGATCGCTTCCGGTTTCTCCATTTGTTTACGCGAATTTCTACGCATTCGCCAAGCCATTCAGACGAATGGATGAATGAACGAATGAAACGCCAAACGAGTTATGCAGTTTCATAACAGGATGTTTACTGGTATCCCCAACAGGCATCAGCTGTACCCAACTCTCATCTGCAATGGGCAAGGACATAATCAGCTCAGCTCAGCTTGGCTTGGCTTGGCTTGGCCCTGCGACATGTGCCCGAATTCTTGGAATCATCTGAATGGCGTGCAGATATTTCGAGCAAATTCTTGGAACCAAAGCTGCAAAGCTTCTGACATTCGCATTTTGATGTATTCCTTATAGAAAATGGATTTCTGAGTTTTGTATCTTAGTCGGAATACAGTCTTACTATGGCTATATATAATAATTTATTTAGAAATTGTTAGTTATTATTACTAGTTTAACATTTTTTACTACTATTATTTACTACTATTTTCAATTCTTACCTACCTTTCCGATCTACTACTATATACTTCTGTGTATTATTCTTCAGTACTTCTAATACTATTCACTTAAATGTACTTCGCTCCAAGACTTAATATTTAATTCCATCACTATATACTATTTTTCACCAGTACTACTTATTCACTACAATCGGTACTACTATCTACTCCTTTATACTATTGTTTAATACTATCCACTCCATTTTACTACTATTTACTACTATCTACTCCATTTAACTACTATTTACTACTATCTACTACTTTCTACTACTGTTTACTACTATCTTTTCCTCTCCACTACTATTTACTGAAGTTTGCTATACTACTATTTACTACTATCTACTCCTTTCTTCTACTGTTTACTACTATATTTTCCTTTCCACTACTATTTACTACTATCTACTCCATTCTACTACTATTTACTACTATCTACTCCTTTCTACTACAATTTACTCATACTTCTATTTACCACAATTTTTTCGCTATTTTAAGAACTGCAATTACTCGCATAACTTTATCAAAATTTGCATAAGTTCAATTGAGAAAAGCTCTACATAGGTTGAGCTCATAGTTCGAGCATCAACAGGTGGCATTAAAGTCAGTTGCAGGTCTTCGACAAGTTGCAGCTTCAACGTATCATGCGACTCAACTTCGGCACGCCCAAGCATTGCCACGCCCCCTTTATGCTAAATGTCACAGCCACGCGCCTAATTTTCCAGTTTCTTGTGCCAGGCAACGAAGCGAAACTGATCAACGAAAAAAAAAACAAAAACAAAGTTCGTTTAAGCCAAGCTAAAAAAACCCAAAAACCAAAAAACGAAAACAAAACATGAAGTGCACTTGCAAAGTGAAAGATGTTGACCGCAGCGCATCGAGGGGGCAATCGAAGGGGGTGTGCGAAGGGCAGAGACAGAGAGAGAGAGAGAGACATAGAGGGAGGACGGGGGAGCAGCAGGAGGAGTGTCCAAGATGCTGCATGCGCCGCATGCGTGCGGAGTGCATGACCCCAATTTCTTTTGGCTGTTTGCTTTTAAGTTTTCGTGTTGTTGTTGTTGCTGTTGTTGTTGCTTATTATTCAAAACGGCAAAAGGCGCCCTGCAGCATCTCCATCACTGGAGCTGAGGGGCAACTGGGGGCTGGGGCACGACGACGGCAGACAAGCGGGGGACAACCTCTGTGGAAGGATGATGTATGTTGCGCTTTCAATTTGGAGCAGCAGGACATCTGTTTGGCCAACGGCTGCGCTACCTGCGCAGCAGCAGCAGCCCCACAAACCGGTTTACAGGTGCTAACTGGGCACCGACTGGAGCTCTGGATGCTGGGCCCCAGCAACAGCAACAGTTGCCCCACAGCCCGCAGCTTTTGGCGGCCATAAATTTGTGTTTAATTTAAAAACTTTTCACTCTTCGCTCACATTTTACTGCCTAATTTATGGCGCGAAAAGATTTTTGTTTAAATATTGAAACTTCCCAGGAGCTGCACTCGACTCCACATCCACGTCCAGGTCCAGGTCCAGGTCCAGGTCCATCCCGGCCACTTGAAAGTGAAGTGAAATTTTTTTCCTGTTGCCTCTTGTAAAATTGGGTGTTGACTTGATGGGTTTTGGTTCCTCGTAGTATTTTTTTTTCCGCACTTGCTTTGGTTTATTTTTCGTGCTTCATTGTTCCCCTTGCCCTTCCCGTTCCCCTTCCAGCTCCTGCTCCCATTCATATGCAAATGCTGTCTTGCAAATTAATGAAGAGCGATTTTTATGTACAAATTTCAACAACTTTATTGGACTTCCAGCTGGATAAGCCCCAGCCCACATCTTTGGCCATTTATCAAAGGCACCCCATATATGAATTACAATGATTGCTAATGCGAATTGAGAGATATTGATTTTGATGCAAGCAGACGGATATTTTAAATGTTTGATCGACTCCTGAGATTTTATTAATAAAAATGAAACTTAAATTGAATTCTATAATTATTTATTTTTAATAAATTGACGAAACATAAAAATATATAAAATATATAAATTCGTTTATTTGCATTTGATATTACTAGATTAAAATATTATTAATAATTAAATAATTTAATATCAGTGCATACATTATTTTTCTAAAAAAAAAAAAAATACCATTATATTTTTAAAACACATAGTTTTAGTTATTTTATTAAAATATCCAAGTAAAAAAAATTATTCAATTTTCCCCCTTGCTTCAGATATATATATATTTTTTTAAGCGCCAAAAACTGCCCAAAACCCTTTCACATGCAAATCGTTTGCCATAACGGACCAAACCGAAAATCCCTTTATGTGCAGTTCCTGCAGCTTATCTACGGTACTTTTGTTGCTATAGAAAAAAACAACCCTTCAATAGACAAAGGATTGAAAAACTCGAACTCGCACTCGTTGACTTATTCAAGCTGCTTTGCGCGGGCAACATTTGTAGATAGATACACATATTTGCTGCATATAGATATATATTAATTTATGTAAAACTAATTTAATGGGAGAAAATAAACCAAACTGCCTCTGCAAGCAACTTGGCCTAGCAGCAACAATGTTGCTGCAACATTTCGCTCTCCCTGCAACATTTGTGAGAAACACACTAAATATGCACATAAAACGCGTTTCGCTCAACAGCTGGTACACAGCAGTTGTCCCGTTCTAACGCGCAGGCGCACCCAGCTTACCGCTCACATACAGCCGAAGCAAAGAGGGATGACCACGAAAAATGTGTCTGTGCCAGCAGCAGCAGCATTTTTGTTGCTGCTTGGTGCTGCAACTGTGCTCTCTCGCGTGCGCTCTTTTTCTCCCTCTCTCTCTTGGTTTATATTCGCGTTGGCTCTCTCTCTCGGCGTGGCTGCTGAAAACAAATTTAAAAAATAAAACATTTTCTGCTTTCATTCTGTCTTGGATTCTTGCACTGTGCGGTTCGTTGCGGCTGCTTCGTTGTCTTGTCGCCAATTCGCTCTGTGGCTCTTACGTCGTGCACATCGTTCGGTCGTGTCGCGCGTCGCTTTGAAATTTTTGTAGCCCTCACAACATAAGCAGCAAATGCAAAACGCACCAAATTTCGAGTGTGCAACAAATAATTTGAATACGAATTAAAAAGAATGTTCAGTGTGTAAAAAGAAGCAAAGCTGCCAATACTACAATTTCAAATCAAAATATTTTGGTAGCCACAAATTACAAAAAAAAAGTGCATGAACAAAAAATAAATCAAATAATTTGTTTTCCAAATGGTTTTTTAAAAGAGCATCAACCCAAGGCAAATACAATTTTTGCATGTGTCGCGTGTGTCTCTATGGCTCGGCTGAGTGCGATTTTTATTTAGCAATTTTCTAGCGGCACTTTTGCCCCTATCGCTCGCCCCCGCTGTGAGCGTGAGCAGGAGACGGCCGAAAATTCGCCCAAAGCAAAATCCGCCGAATTCTTGTCCCACAACAGAGAAGCTAACGCAAAGCAATTGAAAATGTGGCGCGTGCACGTGTAAAACAAAATAATAATAATAAAAGCACATACACATACTAAAGCAACAACAACAAAATGCACATAACAGCAACACCGAATTGCCAAAGCATGTGCCGCAGTTAGCTGCAAAAGAGAATTGCCAAAAATACAATAAACTACTATTTTTATGTTGTAACCGAGTGTGTGCGTGTGAGTGAAGCAGCAACAACAGCAAGGCCGCCCCACTAAGGATTATTACACTAATAATAACACACACCCAACACAACACAACACAACTAAACAGCATTTTGTTTATTACAACAACCAGCAACCAGCGAAGCAACAATAACAGCAATAAACATGCAGTGGATTAAATGTTTATTAACCGCATTTATTTGCTTCACAGTCATTGTGCAGGTAAGTTCTCTCTCTCCCCATCTTCCCCTTGCTTTGCATTTTACTTATCGCAGTTTAGTGAGCTCAGCAACTTGTTGTCGGTTTTCCTTTGGCTCTTCCTTTTTTCGGTGATTCTTACTACACACATGCGCGCCTGTATTTTGCAGCTGCCGTTTTTCGTGTGTGCGTGAAGGAGAGCTTTTGGCGTTGCCAGCCTGGTTACAATGTAGGAGATGAACACAAGTTAGCAATTTTTTTTAGCAGAAAATTCAAGTGCTCGAATTCAAATTTTTTTTATTATTTATTATCCTCAAAATACGTTGAGGAGATGTAAAATTTCAATTTATTTTACAATTCATATTTTGGTAGAATTTTATTTTAATATCAGCTTGCCTACAATAAATTATTTATATAACAAAAAATTGTAATATGAGAAGTCGAGTTTAGTTCAGAAAACAGCTGAGTAAACAGGGGTTGGTTTTCTCTTTTTCTTTTTTTTTACATTTTGCTTTGAAGGGACACCCTTTGCACTCGTATAGATGAAAACTAGTTTTCGGCTTTTCAATGGGCAAACAGGTCCATGCCGAAAAATTTAACAGTCTCTACGCAGCCTCAACAAAATTACCACCAACGGCGCATGCCTTGAAAACGCAAAAAATAATAAAAATAAAAAAATAAAAGCGAAACAGAAATCGAGAAGCTGCTCGATTTCAATATGAAGCTTGAATGCGTACTTGTGTATGTGTGTGTGTGTAAAAATGGGTAACATCTGCCGATGCCGTTGCCATTGCCGTTGCCGATGTTTTTGCATGCGCTTCTTGCTCGGGCGTTTTTGGCTCCACTTTGCGTAGGTCAACGTCAACATCAACGTCAACGTCAGCTTCGGCTTCAGCAGCAGCCTCGACACATGCGCAGCGGCACTTGCTGTTGTATTTTGCTTTTGCCTGTGCTTCCTTCATTGATCTTTAACGCCAGCATCCCCTGCACATTGCATGTGGCTTTGCTCCACTTCTTCTCTGCGTCTCTTTGCCGCTTACTTTTTTTCCCCCATTTAGTTGCTAATTTTAACAGCACTCGAAAAACTGTCTTGAAACCTCCTGCGGTCTTGAGTTTCGTCCAGCTGAAATGTTGCAAGGCTCTGAGCTTCGGATACAGTTGAAAATGCAGCTGTTGTTATTCAGCTTTAGCCTTCTGAAACATGTTAGCTTGAAGAATCTGGCAGCTCTAAATAATAAGAGCTTTTTGCTCAAACAAATTAGAATCGACTATTAAAAGCTCCCTCTTTTCTCGCCCTGTCTGTTTCTCTCTCTCTCTCTCTCTCGCTGTCTCTCCTTCTGTCCGTTTCTATTCATCGCATTGCTTTTTATGCACATAATTTATATTCTCACATGCTGTGTTTAAAATATCACTTAACTATCAAATAACCGTACTCGGTGTCTATCTGCTTATCATACAAATACTACACACATACATATGCACAAGCACACACACAAAGTCGACATGCCGTAATTGTTGTTGCGACTGCGCTTGTTCTTTCTTCTGTTTTGCATTTCGTGCAATTTTCATATTAACATTGAGACAGCGACGTCGAATGAATGAGTGAGCGAATGAATGAATGAATGAATAACTCTGAACTTACTTGCGCCGCTCCATCATCATCGCTGTCTTTGTCTTTGTCTTGCTTGCGCTTCATAAGAGATAATTAATTGCAATTTAGAAAGAGGAGTGCGACAGAGAGGTGGGAGCAGCGACTCCCACGCACGCACAGAAGCTGTTTCACTTGCGCTTATAACTGTTTCCCAAGCCCGTTGTTAACGGTTGATTATAATGATGAGTTTAAATGATTAATAAACAACGTAGCAAAGCCAAAGGGCACTCCAGCTCTATCCGCTTCATCTTTCTCTCTTACTCTCTTGTCTTACTCTTGTAAGTAGCAGAGGCTAAGCAAACACCTGTAAGAATATGATATTAAAATGTAAGTAAAGTGCGTGTCTATCCTTTGTGCGTGTGTGAGTGTGTGTTGTAACCCACAACATTCAAACTGTCAGTCAGTCAGTCAGTCAGGCAGTCAACGTAAGTTGACGTGGAAGACACTGAGCAGAAATGGCAAAAAGTGCTGAGGGATGAGGGGTGAGGGTGAGTGGACTGCGGGCTGCTTGTCTCGTCAGGCCTGAGTGATCACAGCAAAACCAAAAAAAAAAAAAAAAAAAAAAAAAAAAAAAAAAAAAAAAAAAAAAAAA